TTTTTTGTTCAGTCCCTTGCATACACTTTCTTTTCTCTCCAGCCACTTTCGGGCATTGGGGGTGGGGGGATGCTTCCTGTACTCTCCCCCAACTCCGTCCTCTCTCTCCGCAAGCACAAACAGCTCCCTTCCCTCGGTGACTCTCTCCCCCAGTTCAGCTCTCCACGCTGCGTACCTGTTGAATTCTGTGGTTCAGGCTGTGCAGATTGTTGTGTTAATCCTCAGATCAGTTTTCTAGGTGTGCAGGATGGTTGATCTGGCTGTATTTCAGGGTTGCACAAAAACCTTCCATGCTGTTCCGCCATCTTGGCCCCCTCCAAGGCTACACTGCTTCTTGAGTAACTGATACAAGTATGCTCTTTTCCAACCCAGTCTTCAGCCTTTTCTGCTCATTTGCTGAAAAGATCCCTGTAACAGTTCCTGCCCTCGTGGAGATTTCCAAATCCACTCAGCCAAGCCTCTCAATCTTCCCCCTCAGATCCCACATGATAAGCCTTGTGTTCTTTCTGGTTACACCCATATGCCAACACGTGACCCCTGCATAAACCCAACCGCTGCAATCTGGGCCATTACAGGAACCGACAGGTTCTCAGTTGGGCAGTTTTCTATCGATATAAATATAGGACAACCAGCCTCAATGGGTTGTCCATCTTAACTGTTTTTCAGTGTACATTTCAGTGGCATTAACTACACCCACACTGTTGTGCATCCATCCCCACATGTAGCTTCGTAACCTTTCATCTTCCCCAGCTACAACCCCGTGCCCGTTAAACACCAACTTCCCATCCGTCTCCCCCAGCCTCTGGCACCACCCCCGACTTTTTGTCTCTATGGATTTGACTCCTCTCGGGACCTCACTTAAGTAGAATCACGCAGTGTTTGCCTTTTTTTTATCTGACTTATTTCATTCAGCACAATGTCCTTAAGGTTCATCCATGTGGTAATGTGTGTCACAATTTCCTTACACTTTAATGCTGAATTTTATTCCATTGTGTGGCTATACCACAGTTCATTTACTCATTCACCTGTCAACGGATGCCTGGGTTGCTTCTACCCTTTGACTGTTGTGAATAATGCTGCTATAAATGCGGGTGTACAAATAATTCTTCTAGATCCTGGTTTCAATTCTTTTGGATATGTACCCAGAGCTATAATTGTTGGCTCGTCTAGCAATTATATTGTTAGTTTTTTAAGGGTAAACATCTTATTTATATGTTGTCTCTCCACTGTTTCTAAACCCATCCAAAAGTAAGTCCTGTGAAATCAGGCACCTTGCCTCTATGTCTGTGTCCCTGTATCCCCAGCACAGTGCCTGGAACACAGTGGGCACTTAGTGGTTGAATAAATACTTGGTTTCTGAGCCACAATCTCAACTTCTGGGGTAAAGTGTTTGTCCACCAACTAGCATGCCTGTAGTACAAGGAGGTTTGTATCTCAGAAGACAATGCCAGGGACTTACCCAATTATTTGTAGATTAGATGTGGGTTGTGCAAAGGCTGGACATAACTTCATCATTCCTGCAGGGCTGAAATTGTTCCGCATCAGATTGAGGCTGGTCAGGCGCTGGCTGCAGAGGAGGGCCGAAGCGAGTGCCTCACAGCAGTCTGAAGTCAGTCCACATGCCTCCAACCTGCAGAGCCAACATGCCAAGAAATGCCTCCAAAGATTAGTGACTGGTCCTTCAACCCATCTGACTGTCACATCAATGTTTAAAACTGAGTTGTGGGCACTACCTATAGAAGTTTGTGGTTCAGCAGTTCTGGGCAGGAACCTGAACATTTGCTTAGTTTTTTTTAATTTTAATTTTGTATTTTAAGGAGAGAGAGCAGGGGAGAGGGGCAGATGGATGGAGAGGGAGGGAGGGAGGGAGGGAGGGAGGGAGGGAGAGGGAGAGAGAGAGAGAGAGAGAGAGAGAGAGAGAGAATATGAATGGATCTCAAGCAGGCTCCATGGAGCCCAAAGTGGGACTTGATCCCACAACCCTGGGATCATGACCTGAGCCAAAATCAAGAGTCAGATGCTCAACCAACTGAGCCACCCAAGGCCCCCCACCCTGCCCCAATGTTTGCATTTCTAATGAGTTCCCAGGTGATGATGCTGCCATTGCTGCTGGTTCTGGTGGTAAGAATCACTGAGTGACTTAATTATAGTTGTGGAAAGAATGAAAGATAAAGGTTGAGAGCATCTGTCACCAGGGAACAAAACAAGACACATGGAGAAAGACTTGCTGAGGAACTAACATTTCATGTGAGACTCAAGAGACAAGAAGTAAGCCCAGTGAATGGGGGCAGGAAGCAGCAACAGAGCTTAGTACACTGTACAGCCCTTGTGGAAGGAAGGGGTGGGACATGTCTGAGACATGGAGAGTCGACCAGATGGCCAGAGGGGAGCCAGAGGCAGTGGCGTGAGAGGAGGCTGGACATTTTAGGTCATGTTAAGGATTTAGGATTTTATCCTAAGAGCAGTGGAGAGCCAAATGGCATTGTTGGATGTAAATAGGGTATGGTGGCCATGTTCTCACATGTTGGAGATGCATATTGAGGTATTTAGAGGTACAATGACAAACCCTGTAACTCGCCAGAGCAAAATATTGATGATTGTTTAAATTGGATGGTGAGCATACAGTTTGTCATGTCCCAATCATTCTAGGTTTGCTGTGTTTGGGAATTTTTTGTGATAAAGTAAAAAGTCTGTGGCATGGAGCTCAAGTAGTTTAGTTAGATGGTGAGGTGGGATTGAATAAGGCTTATTATTGGTTTTCCTTCTGAAATTATATCTAAGCATTTATGAAAACAGAAAATCTCTAGTGGGGTGTCTGTGGAAGGAGACAAGGGCAGGTAATTCTATGATAGCATAAGGCACTTCGTAGATGCTTCTTGGATTCCCAGTGTGAGCAAAGTTAGCCTCTGATAGAGGTAGGGATTCCTTCTTTACTGTTTAGAAAGAAGGGAATGTGGGTGCAGATATTAACTGCTTTCATGGTGGAGAGTCTAGGCTTTCCTATGAAGTAGCTTTATGTTGATTTGAAGGGAGTGATGTCATCTCTTAAGCACCGGGAAGAACAAAGCAAATTCAAGAGGAATCAAGAGAGAACACCGTCTTTGTTCAAGCAACTTCAGGCTCAGGTCCCCATTTCTCTTCACCCAGCCCTCAAACAGGTGGCCCCAGGAGCTCACCCAAGCCTCCTCAGAGAAGCCTTCTTGTGTTTTAGTCCCTCGCACAGCTCTACGATGCCATGATCACCCAGGGCGTTGGCGGCAAGATCCAGGCTCTTCAGGTATTTGCTCCTTGAGATCACCTGGGACAGATTCTTGCAGCAGGTGGCAGTGAGATGACACTTAACCAGTCTGCAAGAAGACAGTCCGTGTAATTTGAGGAGAGAGTGCTTCAAGGGGATGATGCCCAGAAACATCAGTGGGGCGTTTCCTTTACTCTTTCCTAACTGGTAACCTTTCTGTTCATCCCTGGTAATGTTTTAGACTGTGCAAAATCCACTAGCTCATGTGCAGAGGGATGATAGTGGCAGGTGGGGAAAGTGTGTGATGTGGAGGTATCTTTGGGAAAAAGAAACAAGCACATCAGATCTTGCTTCCCACTTGGAGATGGGTAAGGATTCTCCCTGGTGGATGAGAAGAAAGAGACAGAAAAAAAAAACCCACAAGAGAGAAGTTGGTAGAGTCCGTGACAAAGGACAGAGCCCTGAGGGAGCGAGAAAAGATGACAGAGGACAGAAGCTACTGAAATGCGAGTTAGGTTTGGGGTCTGAAAGGAGAGGCGTCTTGTGCTTCTGTTCCCAGTAGGAATGATGAAGGTGGGAGTTGAGAGAGCCGCTGCAGTAAGGACCGGCTGACTCATCTGAGTAGAAATGATGGGAACAGCTTCACTGTCTCCTATTTTCATTTTAAAATGAACGATCCCATCGGGGATGAGAGAGTCCTTCTTCATGAGGCATTCACACCAAGAATGAGCAAGAACACAGTTGTTAGGGCTCACACCTGCAGATCAGGTGGGAATGACCAAGTCTTGGATGCCAGCATGGATAAATGATGAGGTGAGGACCAGATAACCCCCCAGCACATAAATGTAATCCCAAAGAGATGTCATCTCCAATTGATTAAGCTTTAGTTTCTACTCCATACAAAAGTAGGGCTTGATATGCCAATTTCATGAAAACAAACATAAGAATTAATGCTTGGGGGGGGGGGGACTCTGATTTGTGGGCTATGATCTCTATCCAGTTCCTCTCTATTATGTATTATTGGAGAGGAAGAGGTCTTAAAATGGTCTTTTTGGTTCATTAGTTCTATTTTTGTAATTGAAGAGAAGGTGCTACCAGTTACACAAAGATTTGCAAGGTACATATGACTAAAACATTGGCCATAAGCTCAGTGTCTAGCTTTAGGGGATTTTTTTTTAAAGGTATCATGCATCCTTAAATGGAATACTTAGTTACTACTATGGTCTGCAGATCCCTGGGGGACAGAATGTGAGACCAAAGGCAAGATTTTGGCTCCTTGGGAGTTCTGGTTTTTCGTGGGAATGATTGGTAGGGGAGCTACATGAGACTTCACATGCAAAATATATAGAGCCCTGTGCCTGCCACGTGGGCAAGAAAGCCTCCAGTGGTAACTGCTGGGATCCTTTCTTTGTAACACTAAATGCTATTTATGCATCTGGGAGGAATTTGCCAGAGGAGTAACAGCGCTTACTGCTTGGTTATGAATTGGGGATTTATTTCCTCTCATTGAGACCTTTTAACTTTCCTGTAGTCTGTTTTTTTTTTTTTTTTTTTTTTTAATTTTTTCTTTTCAACATTTATTTATTTTTCGGACAGAGAGAGACAGAGCATGAACGGGGGAGGGGCAGAGAGAGAGGGAGACACAGAATCGAAAACAGGCTCCAGGCTCTGGAGCCATCAGCTCAGGAGCCTCTGACGCGGGCTCAACTCACGGACCATGATCGCGGGACCTGGCTGAAGTCGGACGCTCAACCGACTGCGCCACCCAGGCGCCCCTCCTGTAGTCTGTTTAAGGATGGAATACTCTTATTAAATAGAAACATTCCAGTAAAAGGGAGTGAAAAGGTATCGAGAGAGAGAGAGCCCCTCCGTTTTCACCCTACATACAGAATGAACAGCAGAAGAGTAACTTAGGACAAAAAGAGGTCCTCTGAGAAGTGAACAGGTTTTAGAAACCAAGGGCGACCTAAGCTGCAAAGATCCTGTCTTGGGGCTTCTGTTTGGACTCATCTCTCTGTCCTTCCCACACTCACTGTAGTGTACCCCAGAACACATGAGCATCTGGTTGACCCCAGAACTGATTTTTGGTACCAGTCTTCCTGCTCACATCTCTTGACTTTCTAGGAATCCCAGGCCCCAATATGGTAGAGTTGGTCCCGAACAACCATTGAAACTTACTCCAGGTCCTGGAGGTGACAAGATGGCTCCATCATGACCTCACACAGAAGGTTCATCCCGTCATCTTCCAAGGGGTTCATGCTGAGGCTCAGGTGTGTCAGATGTCTGTTGCCCATAAGTGCAAATGCAAGAAAGCCACAGCCAGCGACATCCAGGTTACATTCTTTTAGTCTGCAGGGAACACACAAGGGAGAGAGGAAGGCGTACTCAGGACTTGGCGTAACCTTGGGGAAGCAACTTCTGTTGGCCCCAGTTTATTCCTGCTTTGGGAGGGGGATATTTATGGGGGTACTTAAGAACGTTTCAGCTTGCTCTGTAAAACAGTATGGAGGTACCTTGGAAAGTTAAAAATAGGACTACCCTACAACCCAGAAATTGTACCTCTGGGTATTTACCCAAAGGATACAAAAATACAGATTTGAAGGGGCACACACACCCCAATGTTTATAGCAGCTCTATCAACAATAGACAAACTACAGAAAGGGCCCAAATGTCCATTGACTAATGAATGGATAAAGAAGATGTGGTATATACATACAATGGAATATTACTCAGCCACCAAAAGGATGAAATCTTGCCATTTGTAACAACGTGGATGGAACAACGTATTATGCTAAGTGAAATAAGTCAGTCAGAGAAAGACAAATTCATATAATCTCACTCATATGTGGAATTTAGGAAACAAAACAGATAAGCATATGGGAAGGGGACAAAAGGGAAATAAACCAGAAAAGACTAACGATAGCCAAGAAACTGAGGGTTGATGGAGGGGTATTGGTTGGGGGGATGGGCTAGATGGGTGTGATGGGGATTAAAGAGGGCACTTGTGATGAGCCCTGGGTGTTGTATGTAAGTGATGAATCACTGAATTCTATTGCTGAAAACAAAATTATGCTGCATGTTAAGGGACTAGAATTTAAGTAAAAGCTTGATGCATGTTCCGGATGCCGTTCAAGACCCCCTGTTTTTAATTTTCCTTCACACTCAATGTGTTAGTTTCCTATTGCTGTTATAACAAATCAGCACAGTCTTTTAGTGGCTCGAAACACATATTTATGATCATGTGGTTCTGGAGTTCAGAGTCTCACTGGAGCAAAACTCAAGGTGTCCGCAGAGCTGTGTGCCTTCTGGAGGCTCGAGGGGATAATCTTTGCTTCTTGCCTTTTCTAACCTCTATAGGCTGCCCGCATTCTTTACTCCCAGTCTCCAGTCAGCAGTTATATCCTCTGGCCTTTGTTACCACATCTCTTCTCCTCTTCTCTCTTATAAAATCCCCTTTGAGGGGCACCTGGGTGGCTTAGTCAGTTGAGCATCTGACTTCAGCTTGGGTCATGATCTCGCGGTTCGTGGGTTCTAGCCCTGCGTCGGGCTCTGTGTTGACAGCTCAGAGCCTAGATCCTGCTTTGGATTCTGTGTCTCCCTCTCTCTCTGCCCACCCCCGCCCCCGACACTTGTGCTCTGTCTCTGTCTCTCAAAAATAAATAAATGTAAAAAAAAATTTTTAAAAACCTCTTTGATAATATTAGGGCTGCACAGAGAATCCTAGACCATTCCCCATCTCAAGATCCTTAACTTAATTGCACCTGCAAAGTCCCTCTTGCCATGTGAGTTTATGTATTTACAGGGGTTAGGACACGAACATCTGGGGGGGGAGGGGCACTATTCTGTCTACTATACTCAATATCCCATCACTACTTAGAACTCACTCTAAGAGACATGAACATTAAAGTTATATTCTTTAACAGAATTTATGGCTACAGGTACACCATCAGCCTAGATCAGTTTTTTGCTTTTACAGAGTTATTGGTGAACTGATTGGTCAATGGGGTGAGATGGCGTAAAGCAAAATGACCCCAGCAAGGCAAACTGATGGTGTGGAACAGGTGTAACAAAACTCTTTCGTTCTCACTACCACACCAAAGATGGAGGCTAGAAGAGGAATTTGGCAACACGGGGTGGCAGTTTTTAAAGCAGTTACTGAGACATCTTCTTGTAACCCAGCTAGAGTACACAGCATCCCCTGACTGTGTGCGGGTCCCTCCCTGGAGCCGAGGAACGCTGCCTCTGTGGCTCTCAACCCTGTACCACCATTACCATCGTCTAAACATCTCCCTTATCCAGCTCTCCCTACCAGAATCTAAGCTCTGTGAACCTAGAGAGCACATTTATCATCTCTGCATCTCTAGCAACTAAGAGAGTTTATGAATGTGGCCGATCCTCATTATTCTTGGATTCTGTGTTTGCAAATTGGCCAGCTCAAAGTTATTTGCTACCCTGAAAATCCCTAAGCACGGTGCTCACGGTCCTTCACGGACACGCGTGCACGTGCAGAGAAAGTTTTGAGCTGCCCAAGGCACCCGCTCCCAGCTGAGGCTGAACTCATTTCAAATTCATCATAAACAAGTATCCTTTTCACTCAGTGCCACGTTTTTTCATGTTTTTGTGGCTTTTGTTGTTTAAAATGCAGTGATAATGTCTAGTGCTGAAGTGCTGCCCACTGTGTCCACGCACAAGAAGGCTGTGCTTCTGAGTGGAGAAAATTGCTTCCTCCAGGCATGAGTTATGGCCCGGTTGGCCCTGAGCTCAATGCTAACGAATCAACAATATGCATTAAATAAGGGGTCTTTAAACAGAAACGCACAAAGCAAGGTTAGGCACTGATTGATTGGTAGAGGAAAATGTGACCGGAGGCACCCAGGAACCTAACCCCATGTTTCCCATGGGAGCAACGGTTCCGTGTTTATGGTGACTTTACAGAACATGACTGTGGTAACAGTAAGGAGACTTGCCTGCCTTTGGGTGAATGATGATTTCCCACTGAAAGAAAACAGAGGCAGAAATGGAATGTTCCACGGAAGGAGAAATTGGGGTGCGGAACAGGACGCAGCCCTTATAAGTTCCTTTCATCATGACAACAGTGTTCCCCTCTGCTTTGTGTTTGGCAGGTGATACATGCTGTTTGTAATAAGACAGTGCACCTCCCAGGGAAGGGAGTCGGACTCACATCAGCCTCTGTAGACCACAGTTGGGGGATTTCATGGCTCGACACAACAGATTCAGGCCTGCGCTCCCCAGGCTGTTGCTGGACAGGCACAGGTGTGTCAAACTCTGGCTGCTGGTGAGGCCCGAGGCCAGGTCCTGGCAGTCGGCAGCGGTGAGGCCACAGTTCCCCAGTCTGCAAGGAGAGAGCCCCCCAGAAGGGAATGGTGAGGTTGCTCTTCAAGTTCCATAGAGGTCACCCCCATGGCTGGCATGCCCCTGCCACTATAGGGCGACATCACACCGTGTCTGCATTTAACTTGCAAAGTCAACGCCACTTCAGTGATGTGGGTGACTAGATCTGCCGTGAGCCCCAATGGGAAACACACGGGCGATGCCAACCGCTCTCCGTCCAGTTGTTTTGCTCCTCGCATGTACTGCGGTGGGAGGCGTTGCTGGATTAGTGACCTTCCTGTTTGGAAGCTGACCTTCCTATCCCACTGGTTTCTCAAAGCTTCATAGGCAGGAGTACTTGCAGAGAAGAGTTTAACGGTGCTTCTGGCAGGGGCTCGTGATGAAGTTAGATGAGTTAACCCCTCTAAGGTGCTCAGAGCTGTGCATACAGCAAGCACTGACTCCATATTGTTGACAGTGATTTATTTCAATGAAGAAATGCTATGTGGGTTGGATCAGAAGGGGGTCAGGATATGTAAGCCTGAACTATGCCACTTTGGCATAAGGATGATCTTGAACTGAGAGCATCTGAGAAAAAGCAGAGACAGGAAGAGCTCTCTGCTCTCCCTCACCTGCCTAAAAACAGGGCACGAATCTCCCTTGTGCATGCGTCCCTCCTCTTCGATTCCAGAAAGAGAAGGACACTTGTCACCAAAGATGGGCATGACATTGAAGTGACTTATCGTATAAACTTTATCTACCATTAGGTACCCCCATATACTTCTTAGTCACCTACCCACAATTTATCAGTTCCTAGAAGCTCCATACCCCTTTTATCTAGTTACTCCTCCACTATTTATCATACGTTGCTATAATGATATATAAGCTCAAGTCTGCCCACTCCTTTGGGTTCCTCACATCTTTTCTGTGAAGCCCCCAGGCACATTAAAAAAGAAGTACCGGGGCGCCTGGGTGGCGCAGTCGGTTAAGCGTCCGACTTCAGCCAGGTCACGATCTCGCGGTCCGTGAGTTCGAGCCCCGCGTCAGGCTCTGGGCTGATGGCTCAGAGCCTGGAGCCTGTTTCCGATTCTGTGCCTCCCTCTCTCTCTGCCCCTCCCCCGTTCATGCTCTGTCTCTCTCTCTCCCAAAAATAAAACAAAACATTGAAAAAAAAATTAAAAAAAAAAGTGAAGTACCACCAATAAAACTGGTCGGTACTTTCCCCTGTCAATCATCAGTTTAATTTGCAGGCCTCAGACATCGCACCCAAGAGGATAGAGGTAAAGTTTTTTTCCCCCTCCCTTACAGACCGAGGAAGAGAAGACGTGTTGGCTTCTCATGTGATTCTCTGCCCCCCACCCCCCGCCCCGAATCCCACTCAGGACTTTGAAGGGTAGTTTGTGCCACTTAGTTTTCCTTTTTTGGTACGACTTTAGCCACCAAACTCCCCATGAAAGAGGGAGGTTATTGCCACGGCATGCTTTGAGAGTGGTGAGGGAAACAACTTTGCCCAGATGGTAGGTCATCGAGGGGGAAATTTCCAAGTAATAGATTAGTCCCTTAGGTATCCAACCAGAGCTCATGTTCTGGCTTTGCCTTTTATTCCCTCTGTGACTTTAGACAAGAGATTTCCCTCCTTCTGGATTCTCTTTTCCTTATCAGCAAATGGGATGAAAATAATTCCTCCCTGGCAGTTGTTTGTGAGGATGGCATTAGTGAGAAGAGAACATGCAGCACAGAGGCTGGTGCTCAAAGACACCGTAGGTGGTGGCTCCAGCCACAAGCCTAAGAGTCTCCAGGATTTCGGCATGGGTGAAACTTGGCAGTAGGTAACACAGCATTGCTAACTCTAAGCTGAACACTGCATGTTAGCTCCCCAGAATTTACTTGTCTTCAACCAACCTCTCCCCATTGGTCCCCAACCAGCAGCCCCTGGCAACCACCGTTCCACCCGCTGGTTCTATGAGCTTGGCCTCTCCCCTAGACTTTCATATTGGTTCAGAGTTTAGTGGCGAAGGCACGGATGTTATTTACTGGGTGTTTTTTTTTTTATCCTCAGTATTGGGGCACTCCCATGGGGTCACAACTGCCATTCCAACCCTTGGCTTAGGCATCAGCTAATTCCTTCCCCATCGCTTGGACCGTCTCAGTTAAGAGGAAATAGCCTGGGTGAAAAGAAGTTCAACTCACATCAGCTTCTGCAGGGTGCACTGTGAGGCAATCAGGGCATGACAGAGGGGCTTTATGCCCTGGGCTGTCATCTTATTTCCTACGAGGCTCAGAGATTTTAGGCTGATGGACGTAAGAAGGATTTGGGAGATCACCATGCAACAGGTGGGGGTTAGTCCACAGTGATCCAACCTGCAGAAACAGGCAACAGGAAACACAGTCTCGTCTCTGCCCATAAAGCAACCCGTTGTTTCCCTGCATGCCAGCCACGCTGGCCTTTTTGCTGATTTTTGGACACTGTTTGCTCCAGACTCAGAGTCTGAGCATTTGCTATTTTTTCTGCTTGCAACATCCCCCCACCCCCACCTCCAACCCCACGTCTTTATGTGGTTCAGTTTTTCCATTCGGGTCTCTTGAATGTCACCTCTTCTGAGTAAGCCAGTCTCCCAACCTTACTTACCTGTGCCTGCCCCACCCCACCCAACCTGGCCGCCCCTCTCTCCAGCATTATTTTATGCAGATGATCGCCAGCCAATGTTTTATATATTTGCACTTAAAAAAAAGTTGAAATACATCTGACACGTAACATTATGTAAGTTTAAGGCATAAACATGCTGATTCGAAACGTTTATATACTGCAGTAGGATTGCCATTGTAAGCATTAGTGAGCACCATCATTTCTTTTTTGGGGGTGGGAATGATTCACATCTAGTATCTTCACAGTTTTGATGTTTACAATACAATCTTGCTGTCTATGATTATTACACTGTGCGTTAGGTCTATAGGACCTATTTGTGTACAGGTTTGCAAGTTTGCTCCCTCAGCATCTCATAAGCATCCAAGTAGCGGTGTCTTTTGACCAAGTTAATCTAATCCACAAAACACACGCCCAGGATTTACAAAACTGTGGTACCAGCCCCCAAACTGGAAATGAACAGAACGTCCCCGGATAGTTGAATGGTTACCTAACTGTTCTGTACCGTGCTACCAGATAGGAAGTACTCAGCACTAAAAAGGAACCAGCATGGATGGTGGATCGGGAAGAATTGGCTGATTGAAAACAGTCCAGTCACAGGGCAGTGACGTACTGTACGATTACGGATGGTGTGGTTGGAAAAGGGATCGGGGTTGATGGCACTAGTGGATCTTGGGTACGGCGTGGTTTTACAAATCTGCACGTTTCACAAACTGACACAAAACGACATACACACGTTGGTCAGTGTGTCAGCATCCCTGGGTTTGATATCACACTGTTAGTTATGGAAGACACAACAATGAGAGAAATTGCCTCAAGGGTTCCTGTCGTCTAATTAATTTTTTTAAAGTTTATTTATTTATTTTGAGGGAGACGGACACAGTGCACAAGCAGGGGAGGGGCAGAGAGAGGGAGACAAAGAATCCCAAGCAGGTTCCGCACTGTCAGCACAGGGTCTGACTTGGGGCTTGGCCTCAACAATCACAAGATCATGACCTGAGCTCAAGTTGAGTGCTCAACCAACCGAGTCATCCAGTTGCCCCAAATTGGATTATCTTTATGAAGCACTGAAAGTTACCTTTTTATTGTGGGGAAATATGCCTCACAAAGTTTGTACAGGTGTGTGGCATTAAGTACATCCATGGTGCTACACAAGCATCCACACCATCCACCTCCAGATCGTGCAGTCTTCCTACTAGTTTTGCAACTTGCTGTGAACAATTATTAAAAAAAAAAAAAAAAAAAAAACAGCAGGGGCACCCAGATGGCTGTCAGTTCAGCAAATGACTCTTGGTTTCGGTTCAGGTCATGATCTCATGATTTGTGACATCGAGCCCCACGGTGGGCTCTGTGCTAATGGCATGGAGCCTCCTTGGGATATTCTCTCTCTCTCTCTCTCTCTCTCTCCCTCCCTCCCTCCCTCTCTCTCTCTCCCTCTCCCTGCCCCTCCTCTGCTCACACTGTCTCTCTCAAAATAAATAAACATTAAAAAAAAAAAAAGGCAAAGACAACACTGGCAAAACCAAAATCAAAAAAGCAAAAGCCATCCCCAGAACTTACCTCAAAGACTCCAGCAAACAGTTTGGGTGTCTTAACGCTTTGCATGCCATCATGAGATCTTCTTCCCTCAGGTGGGTGCTTTCCAAGCTCAGGTATTTAATATTACGGTTGGAAATGAGAGTCATCCAGAGATGACGAAGACCAAGGGTAACCTGTGCACCTTTAAATCTACCGAAGAGAGAAAAGAAAACGATGCATCAGACATAGGGGACAGTTGTACCTCAATTTTCCCTTGTTCCTCTTCTTGTATTACAACTCTCTTATCTCTCACTATTTGCATTATTTTTTTAATGTTTATTTTTGAAGAGAGAGACAGAGCGTGAGCAGGGGAGGGGCAGAGAGAGAGGGAGACAGAGAATCGGAAGCAGGCTCCAGGCTCCAAGCTGTCAGCACAGAGCCTGACGTGGGGCTCGAACTCATGGACCACGGGATCATGACCTGAGCCGGAGTCGGACGCTCAACCAAGTGAGCCAGCCGAGTGCCCCTAATTTTAAAGATAAAAAAAAATTTAATCTCTCCACCTCATGTGGGGCATAAATCCATAACCCTGAGATTAAGAGTCACACACTCCACTGACTGAGCCAGCCAGGTGCCCCTAATTTATTCAATTTTAAAGCAACAAATACTTGAGCGCCTGGGTAGCTCAGTTGGTTAGGTGACCGACTTTGGCTCAGGTCATGATCTTGAGGTTTGTGAGTTTGAGCCCTGCATCGGTCTCTGTGCTGACAGCTCAGAGCCTGGAGCCTGCTTCAGATTCTGTGTCTCCCCCTCTGTCTACCCCTCCCCTGCTCATGCTCTGTGTCTCTCAATAATAAATAAGCGTTAAACATTTTTTTAAAGCAACAAATACTTGAACATCTGTGACGCAGCAGGCACTGGACACAGTATTAAATGATGCTAATATTGCACGTTCTCACGGAGCTTAATCTCGTGGGGGGACACTCAGTGAAGAGCTGAACAAGACAGCTATGCTGAAGAATGAAATTCAGGACGGTCCATTGAGAACAGAGCTACAGGGGCACCTGGCTGACTCAGTAGCCGGGAACACGTGACTCTTGATCTTGGGGTTGTGCGTTGAAGGCCCACGCTGAGTGTAGAGGGCACTTAAAAATAAAATCTTGGGGCGCCTGGGTGGCGCAGTCGGTTAAGCGTCCGACTTCAGCCAGGTCACAATCTCGCGGTCCGTGAGTTCGAGCCCCGCGTCGGGCTCTGGGCTGATGGCTCAGAGCCTGGAGCCTGTTTCTGATTCTGTGTCTCCCTCTCTCTCTGCCCCTCCCCCGTTCATGCTCTGTCTCTCTCTGTCCCAAAAATAAATAAACGTTGAAAAAAAAAATTTAAAAATAAAATCTTAAAAAAAAAACAACAGAACTGCAAACAGATATGATCAAGTTCAAGCTGAACAGAGAAGTCCTATGTCGCAAAAAGGAGTCTAAGGTGATAACTGTTTGGTTTTTAAAAAAAGTCATTTGCCAATATATGCATATAGTTGCATGGAAAGTTCAGGAGATGTGAAAGTAGTTAATTAGAGAAATAGGAGAGGTGGCAAAGGATTTACCTAAGACCTAAGACCCTTGTAGTGCCCGAATCTCGTTACCATTTCGATGTATTCCTGCTGAATTACAGATATGGTGACGACAGGAACTCTAGGACATCACGGGCAAGAGCAGAGAGCAGGGACTGCTTAGTAGGAAGGGGTGTCCAGGGGAAATGCTAAGATAGAGCTGGCAGAGGAGTTTGCCATAGGACAGAGGTGAACAGGGCACTGTCAGTACTCTGGCATCGCCTGCCTCCCTGGCACAGCCCAGCTTAAGGAAACTACTTAGGGAGGAGATAGAGGCAACAAGGGGAAAATGTTTGTGTGGAGAAGTTGACTTGCTCCGGTCTGGGGGTCACCTGTGCTTTGCTTGGAGGGAAGAGTCTGGAATAGACTCTGTCCACAGTAGAACTAGCATTGTTGTCTCGTGCTCCAGGTGCTTGGTGAGCACCCTGGGCTCTACCACAGACCCAGGAACCTACAAGCTGTTCAAATATTTGTTACCTTATTAACAAACGTAAAAGCATTAAGAACTGATGGAAAGCCTCTCTGATCTTCCTCTACCCACTTGCCTGAAATGAGCTCCCCTCACCTTCGCCCCTAGTAACCCACTCCCGTTCATCCTTCAATACCCAGGCTGAGTGAATCTGCCTGACAGGGTCTCTAGTTACTCCCCCCTTGTGTGCTTCTGGTGACCCGCTTCCTGTAACTTGTGCAGGACTTATCCTCTCTGATTACATTCTTAGGTTGGGTTTTTCTCATAAGTGGGAGAGGGGAGCTGTGACACAGCCACACCAAGGGGCGTGAACCCTTACATCAGATTCTGTATTTTACAGGTTGGCTGCCTCAGCGTGGCACAGAGGGTCTTCATGGCCCCTTCACTCAGGATGCTGCCACTCAGGTCGAGCTGCTGCAGGCTTGGGTGGGTGCTGAGCACGAAGCAGAGGTCTCCCCACCACTCATCAGCAAGGTGCCTCGCCGGCTTCCTACGTTGGAAAAGGAAAGAAACATTTGCTTCCACGGGACGGAGTTTAGCACGAGCAGGTGTCACAACAGGGTCAGAAGAGACCCGTCCATCACGGTAAGACTCGGATGGCTTCTGAGGGTCTGAGGCCCATTTAGCGTTGTCGCCTTGTGCTTTGCGTGAGTGCTCTCCTACCCACCCTGCTTCCGGAACATTCCGACACCCCAGCGGGGTGTGCGGAGGGGACCTGGAGCCACCAGCTCTATAGTCAGATGTACCCTTAGATCCCAACTCCCCCTGGAACGGGAGAAGGTGCGGTTCACAAGGATGTTCCTCAGAAAGTTAGAAGCAGAACTACTCAGTGCTCCAGGAGGCCCACTTACACACAGGAATTGAAGGCAGCACCCTGAAGAGGGATTTGTGCTATCTTCACAGCAGCCGAGATACGGAAACGGCCTAAATGTCTGCTGACGGATGAACGGATTAGGAAAATGTGACACACCCGCACGCACGCACACTAGGGAATATTACTCAGCTTTAAAAACAGGAAATCCAGGGGCGCCTGGGTGGCTCAGTCGGTTAAGCGTCCGA